ACAACTTCTCCCTCCTTTCTTTAGCTACCTGTTTACTATAGGTTATAGTTTCGTTGCGGATTTTATACTTTATGAAGTCCCAAAAACGGCTTGGAAACTAAAATTTCGAGGACGTTTTTGGACTTTTTACATTTAGGGCATGAATTTTTCGTCATTTCAGGCCATGGAACCTAAAAATGAGCCTAGCTAGCTGTAAAAAGGGGCCATACGGAGGCAATACGTCCTAGCCGGCATGATCACATGCTGTTTACGGAAAATTCCCTCATCCATGTCAGGAAATTCTGTATTTTAAAGCCTCCCCTAGGGCATGACTCAGCAATTGAGGACATTTCTGCTATGTTTTCATTGTTGGTTAGCATGCAAGGATTTTTCGCATGCCTATTGTCAATGATTTGCTCACTGGTAATAGAGGGGGTGGCCCCAGAGTGGTTTTGCATTGAAATTGGCATGCAACAGAATTTCGCATGCCCTGTAAGCATAATTTGAGGTTCTATGACCTTCTCACCCAGGCCGCGAGAAGCCTAGGTTCTAGTAATAAGTAATTCATACCCAGCAAAATCTCCGGCATGCCGGGCATGCCAAATTTTCTGACATGCCCGGCATGCTAAATTCTCTGGAATGCCGGGCGTGCCATAATCTGGGTCATGCCGGGCATGCCAAAATTGGTCTCTGGCATGCTCTCAACGCACAGGTTATAATTCCTTGAATCTACAGATATTTTAAGCCTGGCTAAAAACAAAAAACAAAACTAAACAGATCACAGTGCTTATCTTTTGATGTACGGTTACACGATGACGTCATTGCTATTCCTTTCATTTTCATAGATTTGGTTGTCCCAGAGAACTTTAAATAACAAAAGCTCTAATTTTCACAAGCAAGTAAAACCCTGAGGGATTCGTCCGTAGTAATAAAACAGCGTCATCGTGGAGATGACCTGTTGGGGGATTGTAAAAACTCCTCACCCCTTTTAATGAGTCTTTAATAGGATTCCCATTTCACATTGCGAATAAAATGGAATTGACTGAAATCAGTAAAAAAAGAGACAGAGACCATTTTCATTGTATAATAAAATGCATCTATGTTCCACGAAAGCTTTTAAAAATACAAGGTTACAGAATATCTTTCAAAGTTCATTACAAACTGAGCTAAGCCCCAAAATCACTGTTCATTATTCAGTAAATTATGATGTTTGACAATGCAATGTGCTTGAATATAACGTTGCAATTACAAATCTCTCTAACGCAATTTTCCCTACGTTAGAAAAGCTGTTAGAAAGTCTGAGTTCCTCTTTCTTGTTTTGTAGGCTTGCCGGGAATTAATGTTTTTGTGTCATTACCAATGTCTGTGTTCTTTCTTTTTAACTCAAAGTAAGTCAGTAATAACTGACAGTATCAAAGAATTGCTCTCTAGAAAAGTAATTATCTCCTCGTCATGTCTGGAAGTTACCTGTAACAAAAAAGAAATGGAATGTTAACACATGCAAGGGCAATATGAAAAAAAGAAATAGTACATGTAGACTCAGCTTCTCTTAACATATTTTCATACTGGCTTGTTGAGTCTGTTAAAGGTCGCAACTAATTGTCTGAGGCTAATTTCACAAGAGTGTGCAATTGAGATAAATGCATGGTAAATAAAGTGAAAGAAACGTGGTTTCACATTAGCCAATTTACATTGCGCTGTTCGATGATATTTACACGCTTTTCTACTGCGAAATAAACCTTTGCATTTGGATTTGCAAGTCAAGATTATACCGAGTTTGACTGACACTTAATTGAACAACAGTTTCATTTTTAAGCAGGTAAGGTGTAGACCCATATAAAGCCGGAATATGTAAAGGAAACTCAGCGAAAACTTTTTCGCATCTTTTTGTGGCGATATTCTCTCACGGCCCGTCAACTGAGTAGGGGTTGCGAAGAAAAAATAAATTAGGACCAAAGGTTAAAGCCTGTCCGGTTACATCATTTCGTATGTTACCTAGTGTTCTAATAAATAGGTCATAAAATAGGATTTAGCGAGTGCGAATTTGTTTCTCAATCGGTGTATAGAAAAGTGAGGCTATCAAATGAGAAGTTTATAGAGTATCAAAATTATTAAATTAAAAGCTCATATAATTAGGAAAATTCCTATACGAAAATAATGCTAGTGACATTAAATTGATCAGATAAAATTCTCAGAAAATATGTCGAATAAAAGCCTCATTGTTTGCTTTTGTTTTTGCGTAAAGGTAAATTTTTCGGCCCACAAAGCAAAGTTGAAAAAGCGACTAAATCTTAGTTTTTTACATTGAACATGCTTATTAGCTTAGTTTTCGTCCGTTTTAAAAGCTTTATAACCCAATCATAATTTAATCATAAAATAGTACAAAATCATTTCAAAAACCATGTTCATTGAAAGTAGAGCCGGCAAACGTGAACATTTTGTAATTCAAAAGTCGGACCCAGCCAGGTTGTTTAAGCTTAGAATTATTTGCATTTTAGCGTCCTATAAATTTACCAGAATCGCCTCTCAGAGGCTTACTGTAGCAAAGCATTTTGTGGTACACTCGTAGACAAGCAATGTAAGCATTAAGTCTTTGCTTGGATGAGATGTCCAAAAGAAAAATTAGTTTTGTGGACCTAAACGCACATTCACAGACTGCTTATATTGAGTTGTTTACAACTTTGCACTGACACACGCGGCATGTTCATTTTTTTAAAGCGAAATCCAAATCTGATTTTGGCATTTGATTTACGGATATTTTATTTTGTCTCCAAAAGTGATTGTAATATCCGTTTGATTGTCTTTCAAACAACAGTCAAACTATGCAGCAAAAATAAGTAACTTTACCAGTACAGTGAAAAAAATATGACCGTAGGTGCCAAAAATAATTATGCTCGAGCTATAAAATTAGATCTGACTTTTTTTAGCTTTGGTTTCTTATTATTGAAGTTTTCTCTAGTCTTCTTAGCAGCAGAAGAAGATTACAAGACATACAAACAGAAACAATCCGAAGTGAACGAGATGACAACCACTTTTGCCGGAGTTCTTAGGCATGCTCAACAGCAAGATAAACTGAATGCCTAAAGGCTAATTCACGGGATTTGTTCAATATTCAGGCTTTTTCTTTACCAAATTAATACTAAATTTGTACTTACAGTCTCTCGCAGAATCCATTTCTTGTTCAGCATTCACCAACATCTCAACCATGCACCGCAGAAAAAAAAGACAAACAAGTGCGAAGAGACATGACGACATCGTGACGCCACAACTGCCACGCTACAACAAACTAGATTCATCGTCATCCGAAAACGCTTCTGCGGAAATTCGGCCGATTTCGTGCGTGCTCGGGGTATCTTCGGATGACGCAGATGACGTTGCTCAAAGGACTATCGTCAGCAAGGAGTAAAACAGTTTGCGAGATTCGGATAGCCGACAAGGAGCGCACTGAAAAACTAAGCAAAATCTCTCTGAGAAGGCAGTCCAAATTCACCAAATCAGAACGTCTTTGCAGTATTAACGTCGTACTCTCGTACTGACTTGAACGACCTGGTAAGCTTAATTTTCACCAGTCTTTTAATGCTGTTGGCCGGGAAACATTCCGACGCCATAAAACTTAAGCATGGATAAGTTCATACTGAGAAGATTTGTTATCTTATTGTTTAAGACGCTTTTCCCCGATCAAATTTAAATCTGGACCCAGAAATGTCAGTATCGGTTTGAAATAAAAGGATTGATCTTTGATTGCAAGTTAAGTATTCTATTTTATGCATGAATAATGTTGTTTTGTTGTGCTTTTTATTTATAAATCCAGGCTTCTGTCCTCAGTTTTGCCAGTCGATCCCGTGACACACATTGTGACAAAACATGACTTTTTTTTGTTATAATCTGCATTTATTGCCAGGCATGAAACCTGTAACTTTAAGCTCCCTAAGATATATTTGGCGATTATATGTGATTCTCAGGATATGATGCTGACGCGAACATCAAAATCAGTCTCGCTGGGCATGCCAATTTCTTGCCTGGCATGCCGGGCATGTCAAACCAAGTGGCTTCACCATCGGCATGCCCGGCATGCCAAACCAGAGGAACAAAAACTGGGAATGAATGATCAACGCGGCGAGAGATCTGGGACCTAAGGTTGGCTGGGTCAATTTTGGGCTGCGAGGGCATGAACCCATTTTTTCCATGCCTATGAGATGTTATTTCTAAGTACCAATGTTCCCTTGAATTTTGTCATGCCTAAATATATAAAATTTTCCCTCTCTCATTAATCCTCAGACTGGATGCGATTTTTACGCTCGCTAGGCATGTTCAACTGAAAATCATGCCCATACCCTTATTCAAAACAAAATGCTATCAAATTTTAGTTTCCAAGCCGTTCAAAGGACCCGTGGATCTTGGATTTCCACACTTTCTTCTAGCATTTGTCATATTTTTCATTTATAAGCGCAACATACCTGTCATCTTCTAATAAACTAGCGTTAAATTTCCAGTATCATGGACCTTTTGCAGTCTCGTCAATTCCATTTGCATGCAATGTGATAGCCGAATGATCAGTCCGATCCTAATTGCAGGAACAATGTCGACATTTTCAATTTCTTCTTATAGATTACTAGATGTCAGCCAAAAATCTAGTCTCCGCTGTATCAGTGGGTTATTTTGCTTCCATGTAAAACGTTTGGATTCTGGATTTCTGATTCTCCAAATATCAATTAAGTCAAATGATGAACAGAGATTTTCAATTTTTTTACATGCTATTTTAAGTTTCGGTTTACCTCCAAATCCATCCCTGTCGCAATCCAGTATAACATTGAAATCACCTCCAATAATTATATCACTATCTGCATCTATTTCAAATTCATCTAGCCTCATCTAAATATCTTCAAAAAAAGTGCTGTGGTCGTTTGCTCTATTTGGTGCATAGATGTTAATAAGGACAAAAGGATGCATGGTCTTGCATCTGAACGCCTAAAATGATAAATCTCCCATCGCTATCTATATGACACACCTTCAATTCACAATCAAAATTCTCTTTTACGTTTTACAAGTATCATGACGCCTCTACTATGCTCGGATCCGTAACTAAACAAAACGTCTCCTCTCCATTGTGATTTCCATGCTAATTCAACTTCCGAAGTGCTGTACGTCTCCTGGAGAAATCTGATATCCGATTTGCTTTTGACTAACCAATTGAAAATGGCTTTTCTTTTCTCAATAGATCGAATCCCTCGAACATTCAAAGATAATAGTTTAAAATTTAAATTAAGTTTCATTGTCACATATTTCGATTTCTGAAGAAAACAGCGGAAAGGCGGTAGAAGATATATATGAAACCTGCATGTTTTTCTATTCATAAAGAGTCGGCCCCCAAAAATAAACAATACGAAAATAACACGAAAAACAATGACGAAAAATAACAATAGCCACAAAGAACCAACACAAAGCTGCTAATTGCGCCACCTTTGACTGGTACCTTGCAATCTTTGATCTTAATTATTAGCATTCTGGGTTTTGCTCCACAGTTCTTGGCAAAAAAAACAAAAACAAAAAAACTACAACTTTGAATAGTTAGAGAGTATATGCGGCCTAAATGATTTTTCTCAACACCGTCAATAAACAATTTATCCGGTTCCGCCCTACTAAAATAGGCGGTCTTACCGTCCTTTTTCGCTTGTTTAAATTGCGTCATCTTCTTCTTTCCAAAATTTTACGTGGAAGGTCCAGTTTTTTCCTCTTAGCTTTCCAGCATTGGACATAACTTCTTCACGTTGAGGGTATTTCAAAAAACGTGCGGTTATTTGTCGAGGTTTACCATTGGAAGAAACACGTTTTCCAACACGATGAACCCTTTGGAATTCGATTTGGTCTGCATTTTCCATACCAAGCTCTGTTTTAAGGAATCCAACCAAAACCTCTCTCGCATCCTCCTCCGTATCGGCTTCTTCTTTAATTCCGAAAAAACGAAGATTTCCCCGCCGCTGGTATACTTCCATGTATAGTTTCTCGTCCCTGAGCTGATTAATTTCGCATTTCAGCTTGTCAAATTTCTCCTTGAAAGACTCGCATTCCGTGTTCGCAAAATCCAATCCGTCTTCCAGCTCTTTGATCTTCTTTTCTGTTGTTTTTTTTTTTTGAAAGACTCGAAACAATCCACCTTTGCCTGCAAATTACTCACTTTTTCGTCAACTGCTTTTACATACCGTTCCAAATTTTCAAGTTTTTCCAACACTTGTTCAAGTTTCGGGATAACTTCCCCCGCCATATTCAGTATAGTCAACAATTCGTCTGATTCATACAGTTCTGAATCTGGCCATCTGGGGAAAGATTATCATCAGTGGAAGTTGTTGAAGAACTTTTCCTCGATTTTCGTTTAACAGGTTCGGCCATACCATTTTGCCAAGTGCGGAGCAAAACCACACACGTCTACTCCGACATCTTGCCCGACCCAGTTTTTCATTTTTTTTTCTGTTTTGAATGGCAGTTCCCCGCCATGAACAAACTAATTTTACTTTTGCTTTTATTTCACTTTTTTTTTAAACATAATAAAAATGTTTTGTTTTGTTTTAAAAATAATAAAAAAAGAATCTATTTCCAGTTCAATGAAAAACAAAATAATTTTACATTTTACTTTCACTTTAATCTCAATACGAAATAATTTAAGTTCAATCTAAAATTAACAAATTTATGTCGTTTTGACGAATGGCAGTTGTCGACCACCATACTATGACAACTCCAATGTCATCGCAACCCTGATCATAACAAATATTCACCTATATCTAATACAACTGTGCTGGAAATTTTTCCAAATCTTTGTTTATGGCGACGTAGTTTATGTGCAAACTTGGGAGGTATTGACCCTGAAAAACGGTATCGAGCCACCTTAACAAGTATCAATGCGCACCGTTTAGCTTGGTCTAAAAATATTGGGACGAGGGGACTAGGATGAGAAAGATGGCGGATGGAGGTGTTTTCTTAGTTCCGTAATCCTTGTTAGCCTGGGAGGAATATAGCCCCCTAAAAGTAATGTTCGGCGCAACGATAGCTGTCTAAAGCTCAAACGAAACCAAAGATCCTAAAGCTCGTCCTCAACGCAATCCCGGCCGTCACCAAAACGAAACAAACTCCTCGGAGCGACACCCGATGGAGATACGGAATCCTGCAGTATGGATAAAACGCCCGACGATCGTCCCTCGCTCGAAAGAATCATGGAAAAACTATCTTACTTGGATAACACTGAGAATAGAGGAACATTTTAGTGGGTTAAAATCTGATATTTCGATTTTAAGACACGAGCTTAAAGAAGAGATCAAAGGTGTTAAAAGTACCTTGACGGAGGTACAGAAATCACTTGAATCAGCGTGGAATGTCATCCCAGACTTACGAGCAGAATCTAAATCACACTCAGACTTCACGACAACCTACCAAAGTAGCTTGGATAATGTAAAGAGTGAACTGGCTATGACTTCATTAAAGAATGCCAAGCTCGAGACCGAAATTGACGCTTTGAAAGTAAGATTTTTGGAGGAGCAGGAGAAAGTAATTGCTCTCGAAAATTATTCCCGGCGGGAAAACCTACTCTTCATGAACGTACCAGAACAGACAGAACAAGAGGGTGAAAACTGTGCGAACAAGATATTCGATATCATCAAAAATGAGCTAAACATAGATGTTGAGAATCTTAAATTCCATGCAATACATAGAGTGGGAAAACGACGTTCGTCGGATGAGACATTGAAAGCTTATCCAAGGCCTGTCATTGCACGCTTTCTATCCAGAGAGGACAGAGATATGGTACTGAGAGCGAAGGGAGGCTGCGAAACTCTTCACGATATACAAACGCGTATATTACTAAAAGACTATGCCAAAGCGATTCAAATGGAAGAAAAGTTTTAACATAACCAAAGCCATGTTTCTGGCCCGCAAAAGAGGTATGAATGTATGTTGTAGACAAAAACTTAGTAGTGAATAATGTTTACAACTTAGATGATATATATCCCCGATAATCTTAAGGAATCTAGCACCCTTAATTCTAGCTGGACAATCTTTCTACGCTTTATTAGTCACATGTACAGGACGTAAACAAACTCCCCAGCGCTACTGAATTTCCCCCAGATGCAGTCTTTCAATTTCTCCTTTCTGTTTTCTTTGCAAGCGTTATTTGCCAGCAAAAAAAAAAAAAAAGCTAGACAAAACAAAAATCCTACCTTTTGACTTTTTTTTCTCTCAAATAGCGCCAAAATTCACTAGGTTCGTTTTCAAAAAAAACAAAAATAAAAAAAAAAAAATAAAACGACTAGATATGTATTTTTGACTAAACCGACCATTATCATTGCTCATTACGACTCGTTTGTTTGTAACACCTTTTGACGATCGTTTTCAGTATGCTTACCATAAAAAACAATTTCCCCTTATGTGACAATGGCTATTCTTGACCAATTCTTTCTTTTGTAATTACACTTAAAATTGTCCGTAGCAAAAAGCCTAAACTGTAGCTAAACCTCAGAAACAGGACAGGGCCTTTAGAATTTTACTGTACAAACTCAGGATGACTCTCATAATTCTTTACATTAGGTGGCAACACACAAATGTATGTCACGGCGGGACCAAACCACCCTCAAATCGGTCATTAGGGCTAATTTTACTCCTTTTTTTCATTATTAGTTACCAAAGTTGCAGATAGTCTTGTTTTCTCAATAGAAAAATTGAGTGTCAGAACTCGAACGCAATTGACTTTTTCTTACTCAAAACACTGCACTTTTGGCCTCATCGAAATGTTACTCTGCATGCCAAGAAGAAGCTGGGTTACTATCGTAACTGCGTGACTGACAGTTGACTCGGTATCTCCTTCTCTTCATGTGAAACGTACCTAATGTCACGTTCAGTTACGGAAAAGGTTGTCACGCAGAGTCGCAGGCCCGTAGTGTTTAGTGTTTCAAAATGGCTAAAATTGACCGAGTTTGACTTTTTTTTACCTCACTCTTTGTTTAGAAAAGCAACTTTGCAATGAGAAAACCTACAAGACGCAAGAAAAACGAACAGTTAGCGTTGAAATGTCTACTTTTGTGCGTTTGGAAATTGGAAGTGTTTACAATGACCACTGGTCTACTATGAAATTTCCTGAACTTCGATGCTGTCAAATAACAGAGATTTCCTCCGATAAACCAGGCCAATTCCCAGGTATGGCTTGTACATGAATGTCTAAATGTGTGATTTAACTTGGATGAAGAAAATTTGGAGTTATACTATATTAACTATTGCCGTCGAAAATTAGCAACAAACTTAAGTTTTTGTTATCGTGAAAATCTATCCCTCATTTTTGAATTATCTGAGTTCAACGTTATTGCTAATTGCTATTGGCCTAAACCCTCAGACGTACAAGGCGGGCAGGGGGGGTGGTTGTCACCCCCCTCTGAGGTTTTTGTTTTTGCACCTGACGTTTCCAGTAACTGTTCGTTTATCCCTTGCGCGCATTTTGAGAGAAGTTTAGTGATGGTCAGTTACTATGGTTACGAGATTTGACGTCATAAGTGGCAGGTGGTCAAGCCATTTTTGAGTGAAAATGGGTGTTTTTGCAACTGTTTTCAACAATAAAAGTAAAACTTGTGGATGAATTGATGCAAAATGTTTATGTGTTATTTTACATGTCAAGCACAAAAAAGTACCATTTATCGCTATTTTAACCTGATTTCTAATTCTTGGTAAATCCAAGATAGCGCCCAAGGTGGTGGCCATTGTTGGAGACGTCACAGGCCTCCAGTAGCTCCACCACCCATAAAATACACCTCATCTTGTTGAGAAGATCAAAGGCTTTCCACTGAGGGCAAAATTGTTTCCAAATACTGCAACATATCAAAAACTCTGGGGAGGGGCTCCATTACCCCCTCTCCTTTGTACTAAGGTGGGAGTTTGAATCTACGTGTACGTGTGAGGGTTAAAGTATATTCTAGTTAAAGAAAACGAGTCCTTCTGTTGGTGGAAAGTGTCCAAGTGCCTCAGCGCGGATTTGTTTTACCACTCGAGAAAAGTTGATGTTAGCTTATTTCAGGTTAAAAATTAGACCAGTCTCACACCCTGACCTCGAAAACCAGGATTAGCTACTATTCTAATCTTTCTCTCAAATAAAAGGCTTTAGGGCGGAAACAATTAACATCAGGTTTCCTACTGATCTACCTCAAAGTTATCCGTGGACAAAAAATGAAAGCCGAATCGATTTTTTAATCTATATTCCTCAAGTTACCTGGCATTAAGACCCGTCCAACTCTTGGCGATAGTGCATTCCAGTCAACTGCACCTTATCTCTGGAATGCATTACCTTCGGCAATTCGCAACATAAAGACATTGGACACTTTTTAAACTGCTGTTAAAACTAATTTTTTTAATTTTTCCTATTCTTTTTTAATTGCTGGCTTTTATTTATTGTGCGCATTAAATCGTATATTTGAATGCTATTTTGCGCCTAATGAATAATAAATTATTATTAATTATTAATTATTATTGTTATTATTATTATTAGTGTACAGGTTGGTAGTTTTTAATAGTTACGTTGTAGTCACCTTTAACATAAATTTAATACAACAATATTGTGAAGCGTAACTGAATATATACATTTAAAGGTTTGCGCTATATCAAATGTAAATTATCATTATTATTAATATTTTTCAACTCTTGGCACGAAATGTCACTACAATACTACATCTGCAAACGTGCAAACCATATCAAACCATAATATATCATATGGGTCCTTTTTTTATACATCGAACGATCTACCAAATACATATCCACCTGGAAACTAATAAGTAGAACGCACGCCTACGATACCTATACCGCAAATGATCTAATAGATGCCGGGCCGTCTATTCAATTTTAGGTGCCCAAGCGGGGGCATTTATAGATAGGAGGCGTTTAAAAGAGAGATTCGTTTATTCTCATAACTGTAACAAACTCCACAAAAATATTATGCTTTCGGCGAATACAGTGTATATCCCTACACTTT